TGTCAACTCAAATGATTCCCAAAAGTTGTTCTTCTTCACTTTACTTCTTTTTCTGTCTTCTCCTAGCCAGCATGAGCCAGTAACTAAACGTAGTCAGGATTTCCTGCAACTCTCTCATGACGAAGGTAATAATGCAATAGAACACATTAAACGATAGATTGAAAGTTTTTATTGATTTTAAATGTAGGCAATTTGTCTTAAATTCTTCATTCCTGAGATATGGAAGCTCAAACATCGCTTACCGCGACAGTTTACACGAGGTCCTGTTGTCCAGAAAGAGCAGTCAGAGTCTTTTAAACTTAAGATGCTACAAACAAGGTTGTATATAATAAATAGAGCCTAACTATTGTGTCATAAACTGCATAGAAGTGTAGAAAAATGAAGCTTTTTATCAGTGATTTCCCCAACTGGCATTACTAAGATTTACTATGTAGGTGGTGCTTAATTTGAGCCACACCTTTTATTCCAGCCACACCTTCAATTGCTGCAGCAAGCAATCAAAGCAAGTCAGCAGCATCCTCTCTATAATTTTTGAAGAACAACATTAATGTTTCACTTTTGTTATGTTACATTGGTGATTGTGGCGAGGGCATGTGCTATAGTGCACTCGTTGGACTCACGTAGGAGGGTACTAAGCAGTTGGGTTGTCATTCTGTCCACACAGTTTAATTGATTTGTAAAAAAATTATCTTTTTGTTTGAGCAGTCTAGAGCTCTATTTCTTCTTCTAGCAACAGATAAAGTTGCTTTCTTTCATCTAGTTATGCTCTTGTAGCATCCCGTGGCACCAAAAGCTGTGAACTGCTAAACCAGGGGACCTCTCTCCAGGTGAGAGCTCGTGTTTCACTCTACAGGGCCGAGGTTTGCTTCAGAGGTAGAAAATCCCATCTAACGAAAAACAAAAAGAACGATTTTGTCCTAACTTCGTTGTTTGTGAGTTACAGTTGCTCAAAGTTTGTGATTTAGCCTCTTTGAGAATTTTTCAGGTGGCACTGGGGAAAGCAGGAGCAACCAAACTCTCTCAGTCTCATTTAAATATCTAGAAAAATTTTCTGTGCCAACTCTTTCTTGGAATAGAGTTTCAGATGCTAAAATAAATTTCAGCTTTTCTTCTTTCTCCTACCCATGTGCCATGATTTAGTTAGTTGTTGACCACACCCATAGCTTATTTTAATTATCATTATAACTATGCAGTCCATAATAATAATTTTTTTCAAATTGCTTAAAATATCACAGTACAAGTAATACATATCACTCAAGTGAATTCCAGCAGGCGAGTCCATTGCACCATAGTGCTTCATTTAAACAGTATCCGCCTTGGCTTCTGGTCAAATAACATCCTTGTGTATATGCATCCAGTAACCATCAATATCTGTAGTTTATTTATTACATGTGTTACAGTTGCTTAGTTGCAGTTGCTAGATCTATCATCTACATGAGTATTAGTTTGTCAAAAGTGATTGGGATAAAATTCTGCATTTTACTGATACATACTACATTATTTTTATGTTGTGTTAATGTTTGTATCAATTCCAATGAAAATTAAATTTTCATGAAAACATTACCACAAGCCTTTATTGTAGTGCTTGAGCTCATATATCACTTAGCATGCTTTGTGGAAAACACTGCATTGTAGATACCTGTGATTGGTATTTAAAGTGCCTTTTTCATTTGTTTTGTATTAATGATTACTGCCTCAAATAGTCATGAGCTATTTCTATTGTAATTTAGTTGGGCAAGCCTGTAATGATAAAGTAGATTGTTTGTGTGCATGTACTTGTATTTTAGGATGCAGAGGTGATGGCTCAGACTGGTTTGCGTACTTCTAGTATGATTCATACTATGTAAATAATATGGGTGTACATGACAATGTATTATGGTTGTGCATGGTCACACTCATATATGAGGTAACATTTGGTTTCAATAAATTATAATTATAATTATACAGATGAACAAGTCAAGTAGATCTAGCTAAAGAGTAATGGTAAAAAACAAACATTCCCAAAAATTAATGTACCCCTAGATTCATGATAAGACACTAACGGTTATTTGGATTTGTAAGAAGTTGGTTCTAAATGGATCCGGAACTCTCTGTGTACTATTGTAATTATATATTATGTGTTTATTCAAGTATATTCTAGAACAATCATGTAAAGTATTCTTGTATGTTATAGAACCTTCTGGACATTTATAAGATCTATATAAGTGTGTTGTTGTAGTTGTGAGTTAGTTTTGTTTTTGTTAGTTGGTTTTTGAGCTCAGTTGAGTCTCGTGTTGATTAAGAATAAAGTTTGGTTAACAGATAGTTGGAGCGTCTGTTACATTTTTTGGTGGCAGCGGTGGGATAGTTCTCAAACAGTTGTAGAGGAAAGACCCACTATTG